TTCATTTTCCCTCTCAGCTCTCAAAGCCCAGCCATAATGGCTACTTCCAGTGGCCCAGGCCATGGCACAAAACGACCAGGACCAGGAGCAGCTTCCACTTACCAGTGGTGGAAAGGAACACCTAGACCGCTTGTGTAGTGAAAACGGGGAGAGGTCAGGAGTGTGGCACAAACAAGTGAGTGTGCACATAAAAGGAAGCAGCTAGCTCCATCTTCCGCAGGATAGGGACTTGAAGGCAGCTGGTCAGCCCACGCCGGCTGGTGACTGGGGTCAGCAAGAAGCTGTGGTCTTCTGAAGGCAGTATCCAAAAGGAGGCCTCCTACAGGCCTACTTAACCCCCATTACATCCATTCCCTAATATACTTTTCACCTTGGGCAAATAGTGCAAATTTGAATTTTTACTCACTGATCAAATATTTACCCTGTGAGCTGCCAGTCTAGCTGGGCTTGACTCCTCCAGTTCCCCATGTTTGTATTAGATGAATTAGCATTTTATTGTTGGCCTGCTAAATGAGGAGTGGAGGGTGAGAGCAGGAAGACCGGAGGTAGCAGCCCAAGGGTCCCCATGGAGGGGTTCAGTTTAGTCTTGGGTCTTAGCATAGGTGATGGGTTGTCCAAAGAACTCATCAGATATTTTCAAACATTTTGAGGGGAGATATAGAAGAAACTGCAGCTTTCTGTACTGCTCATCTGCATAATTAACTGTCATCCGGGAAAGTGGGTTCAAGTTTCATATTCCTTTGTTTCACCATATAACGTGAGCACATTGGGGCAAATTTCTGAGCCTCAGTTTCCTTACCAGCATGCTAAGGATAATAGTGTCACTCCCATTAGAAGGTTGTTGCCCCAGGGATACAGCTCAGCAGCACAGTGCCTGCCTGTCAGGCATAAGGTTGTGAGTTCAATTCCCCGGTGCCAAAAAAGAAAAAAAAAAAAAAAAAAAAAAAGACAACAGAAGGTTGTCACAAGGGTGTAAAGAAATATTAAATGTGGCAACTGTAAAAGGTAAAGCATTAAATGAAGTGCTGTCTAAGTCTAAAAATGGATCATTGTAAAACATAGCCCTAAATTCTTTGGTACTCCTCCCACCAAAAATTGGAGTCTGTGTCACACTTCCCTTGAATCAGAGTAAACTCATGACTGCTTCCATTCATATGCTATGGCCAGCATGAGACCACGTGACTTGAGAGGCTGGCTGACAAGGCCATACAGCCCCAGCCCGGGTCTCTTGGAACAGTTGCTAGAGGGTAAGCTCCAGGTGACAACTCATCCTGCCAAGGCCCCAGACACATGAGTGAAGCCATCTTGGACCTTACAGACTTGACCCACCTCCTACTGGAGATGTCAGGAGAGCAAGAGAACCACCCAGCTAAGCCCTGCCTGAATTCCTAACCCACAGATCATTTTGCACAGTCAAGTGGGTATATTTAGGCCACTAAGTTTGGGTTTGTTAGGCAGCAGTAAAAACTGGGCCACAAACTACTTATTTTGGTACCCTATTTCATATGTCCAATTTTTATGCATGAGTTTAAAAATACATTTAATTTTTTTAAACCTACTCATTTGATTAAGTTACTGTATCTGCCAAGAGTGCAAACTTCCTTATGTCTTCTTTCATTTTCTCATTCCTACTTGACTGTAAGAGACAGGGCAAGGTGGGATTTCTCATGATTCAACTCTGCTGTAACACAACCACAACACACTCAACGGCCTCAGGAACAATGAAGAGTTGGAGCCCCGCTACCCTTCCACTGTCACAGGACAGAGCTGTCAGGTCCCCCAAGGGAAAGGCTAGCCTCATGAATTCTGTCCCTGTGTAAAAGAGTTTAATAGGAAGTTCTAGTTTTCCAAGAAGTAAAGTAGAAGGAGCCATAGAAAACCACAAAAGCCCGGTCATCCGCAGTGAATTTCTTTTGACTTTGCAGTGTTAGGGCTTTGTCCTGGAAGCAGATTGTCCTTCCCACTTAAGTTTGGGATTCTAAGAAACTAAGGGGGAGGGTAATGGCCTTTCCAGAATTTATGCTGCCCAGAAGGTGCTTGGTGTGGCCCAGAGGGGCGTGATAAGCGTGCTAGTGGTGGCCTGCCAGGGATCTTCAAAATCTGGAAAGTGAGCAACCCACACCTGGAAAACAGGTTGTTGGCTGCTGGAGCTTTCCAAGTCTGGATCCCGTTTACACTTGCCGAAGCACAGCCTTCTAATTCCAGCCGCCCATGAAAAGGCACGTAGGTCCTCTGTGACGTCAAATCACTCTTTCAACCGAGCATAATTTCTTTCAATGATGGGCTTGGAGGGGTTTCAGCGACGGTGGGGTTTTTTTTCTTTTTAATGAATCATAAACATGCAGATCAGATTTAGTGTTATGACTGTGGTGTGCAGAGCGTCACTGTTAATTCTTGCTAAGCGCTGACAGCAGGATCAACCCCCAAACAGCACAGGCAAATACACCCTCCCATCCCGGCCCCAGAGGCTTAGAGACTGCATAATTACAGACAAGGCTCAGTAGTCATTATCATCCCTGGAACATTTCAGCCTGGGGCGGCACCCCCGATCCAGAAAGCCCCCTGGTGTGCCTGCCAGCTCTGGTTCCCTCACCCAGGGAGGACTTGGCCACATCTCTATAGCAGAAGGCAAGGAAGGAGTTCCAAAAGCTGGCAGAGCCGAGCTCCCACCGCCCTGTCCCAAAGGTGGTAGCCCACATCAGGGCTCTTCCTCCCAGCAGCTGATCTGGAAGGCAGGGGCGGAGGGTTGTGCAGAATACACGCCAGATTTTACTAAATGCCGCACAGCTGAACAAGTCCCTGGGGCTGAGGATCACTCGGTGTCTCTCATCAAAGGCTGGGAAGTGGGGGCTGGAAGTTGGAGTGCTGGGCAGGGTGCCCGGTCACTGTGTATGCCCCAGGATTGCCCAGGAGGGCCACAGGAGCACCACTTGGCTGCCTGCAAGGCAATCAATAAGGGCTTCATAAAACCGAGGCTGGGTTTCTCCACCACCTTTCCAACCAAAGACTGAAAGGAATCCAAACTCCTGGGATCTGTTGAACTCTGCTGGGCTCATCGGCCCCTTCTCGGTCAGCTTAATGATCCTGAGCCACACGTGAGTCTTTCTTTGGGTCAGAGCAAAGAGGGTTACAGAGGATAGAAAATGGGCGGTCTCAGACCCAGAGGGTGGCAAGTTGACTTCAAATCTTTCGGTGGTGTTGGCTGCGGGGAGGAGTGCCTGCATCCACTCTTATTACCCACCATTCCTGGGTGCTTGCCTCAAGCTCCCCACTTCACACGTACTCCCCAAGAGGCAGATATTACCACTGCCCACCTGACAAGTGAAGAAACTGAAGCTCAGCTTCAGCATGCCACTCAAAGACACTCTGTCCTGTCTGACTCTGAAGCCAACTTCTTTATACTGGTGATCCTCACCCTGGGCTGCACGTGCAAATCTCTAGGGAGCTTTCAGAAAATTCCCATGCCCAGAGCATACCCCAGGCTACAGAAGCCAGGATTTCTGAGGCAGACACAGAGGCATCAGTACATTTTATATTTTGCTTGTTTTTTTTTTTTTTTGAGACAATATCTTGCTATGTAGATCAAACTGGCTTTGAACTCACTAGATAGCCCAAACTGGCCTCAAATTCACAGCAATCTTCCTGCCTCCGCCTCCTGAGTGCTGGGATTACAGGTGTACTTGGCTGCATCAGTACTTTTTAAAACCCCTGAGGTGGTTCCAACATGAGGCCAAGGTTGCGTGTGTTGCACTGTGGTACTGTCATTACTTCCTTTGTCATTATTTCTCTCCTTCCATTTTTTTCCCTCTTCTAACAAATATGCGTTGAAAGCCTGTTAAATACCAGGCCCATAAATGTCCAATGAATGTGCTTCCCTCCCTGTACTGCAGTGGTTCTCGGGGGTATCAGGGGTGAGAAAAGAATGTATCCTAGAGACAGTCATCCAGAGTGACAAGGAATGACTCTGACAGCTGCGGGCTTCAGAGAGGAGCCAGGGTGAAGGCAGAAATAGGGGTGCGGTCAATGGAGTTGAAGTTTCCCCGATAAGTAATCTTCCGGCTCTGCTTAGAGACTCCGGAGAGGGTGGAATTTGGATGAGGATTCCTCCAGGCTGGGACATTTTATTCATAAAGTGGCTGTCATCTCTTCAAGGAGAGAAAGATACACACCAGTCCAGATCTGAGCTTAGCCCTAGGCCTGCAGTGCCACCAGGAACCAAGGGGAAGTCCTAGAGCAAGCCTTACTGCACCCATCAAGCTGCTGGGATGGACTCAGCCAGGTCAAAGGAGCGGTGGTTTCCATGGTTAGGAATGGAGAGAGTGAGCCCTTCCTGCTCTGAATTCTAGAACCTTCTCTCTCTCTCCAGAAAGCCAGAAGATACCACTGCAGTCAGTTTATTTCCAACTGAAGGATGTTCTACTGTGCACGCTTCATTGAAAAGAGTATCAGTTAAGAAAAATAGAGTGATTTTCCTGGATAACCAGCAGAAATGGTTTCTTTTTAAAATATACCAGTAGCGTGCCAAGCATGGTAGCACACACCTGTCATCCTAGTACTGTACACTGGCACACTGAGGCAGAAGAGTCACAAGTTCGAACCCAGGCTGGACAATTTATACAGCTCAGTGCAAGGGTTTTGGGTTGAATCCCCAATACTGAAAATAAAATAAAATAAAAGCCACAGTAGGGAAAACACTAACCTTTTACTTAACCAGCACCAGAGAAGAATGGGTTCTTTTGGACTTTGTTTAGTTTTTGCAGTGCTAGGTATGGAACTCAGGTCCTTGCGCATGGTAGGCAAGCACTCTCTCACTGAGCTGCACCCCAGCCCATGAGTTCTTTTAAAGAAACAAATCAGCAAAATAAGTAAAGCAGCTCACCTCCTGTAAGCAAAACTTAAAAGCAGAAGTGCCCCTGTTTTTAAACAAACCCAGCATAGACCACATTCCATAGTTGCCTGGCCCTTAGATGGGCTGGCACCCTTGATGTTATCTTGGTTACCTGCTCACTCAGAACGTGGACAACTGCTTGTGTCATGCTCGAAGATGAGGAGGCCTTCCCCGTATCATTGCCCCTTCGATCCTCTTTGGGTTCTAGTTTCTTCCTGTCTCTTCTTTTGCTCTGGTGCTGACAGTAACCACTTCCTGCTGCTTTCGCTAGCTATCCTTGGACTCTTATTCTATGTCCAACCTTCAACTCCTTAACTGTTTCTCTCACTTGCTCCATTCTTGATCCTAGTCCTAAAGCCAAAACAAAACAAAAGCAAAAGCAGAAATTAGAGGAATTAGAGAATCTTCTGGTATGTTCGAAGAGTATGTGAAATAAGAATAAACATGTTCTGAGGAAAAAGAATCTGAGCACTTCTATGGTGATCATAAGCTTCATGGCAGCAAATTCCTAACACATTTTAACTCTTCTGGATTCTTCCAGACTCTTGAGGTTGCTGAGTCAGGTGATTTCTGAATAAGTGAGGTGTCATGGTTCAATTTTTTTTGTTTGTTATCTTTTGTCGATGGCGTCAATTTTGTACTATTCCAGAAACACTCCATGATAGATCAGGGGCTCAATGACAGCTTTTGACCTCTTTCCTCATGTCAATTCCCCCATGGCTCAGGCCCTCTATGGACATCCCCTAGGACTTCAACTTGGAAAGAGTGACCAGGACTAATTTAAAAATGCAGCCTACTTCTCTTCTTTCCCCTCTTGCCTTTATTTTCCTCTCCCACAAGTGTGACCCTTACCCCATTTTCCCCATCCTCCCCATCTGCCTGGTGCACCGGTTTTAAACCGAGGCAGGAGGCAGAGCTGATCGGAAACAAGAGAGCAGCCTCACAGATCAGAAGCACTTGGGGTGCAGAGAGCAGACCGGCTCTCAGATAGCAGCTGCAGGGGACCAGTGAGGAGCTGACTCAGAACCAGAATTTGGTCAGCACATCTAATACAGATCAGGGTCTGGCTTTATATCTGAGTCATCAGACCCCAAAGATCGATGCACGAATTGATCGATGCATGTCAACACAGCCATTGGCAAGGAGCTGTATTCCCTTCCCTGGGCAGGAAAATTCAGGGCCATACTGAGAAGCTGAGTCAGTGATCAGAGTGTATGTCCCGGGAAGGACAAGCCACAGCCAGCACCTCACCCTGGGTGGCACTGGATAACATCCTGCTCACGTCACTGTGGACGTTCTGACTTCATGTCGCACTCTTACCTTTGGCACAATCCATCAAACCACCCCAATATGACAGGCTGTATCACAAAACTGTGCCTCTGGTGTCTTGGGTAGACTTGGCTGTCCCAGGCCCACCCGTAGGTGAGAGGAAAGGGGAAATGACTTGGGAGATCAAGCAGGGTAGACTCATCAGAGCGCTTCCCATTTGCCCAAGCTCTGTGGCTGTCATCCTGACTCTAGATGCTGCTCATAAAATAAGTCCCTCTGGCCTCCTCCACCAGCTTCCAGGTACACAATGGCTAACTGTAAAGCTGACTGGACGTGCTGCAGGAGCACAGTGCCCTGCCCTGGTCTCTCTCCCCAGGGAGTCCTCCTTGACCTCCTGGGAGCCACCCAGAGACCAGCATGGCAGAGCAGCTTGCCTCCAGTGGCAGCCTCCTCAGCGACCCCCAAGCAGCCCGAGGGAACCGTCTCTGGTGAACACAGGCGCTTTGGGAGGAAGCAGCGAGAGAAAGGCGTGAGCGGCAGGGCTAGAGACCTTTCTCGGGGCTTATTAAAAATCTTTTGTGTACCACAGAATAAGTCCAGTCTTGTCCATCTTGCTCCCCCAGCACTTAACTTTTTCAGGCCTGATGAGCTTAAATGCTTCAGTTAGTCCATGAAACCTAAGACCCTCTTTGGCCTTTGGGTCTGAGTTTCCTTTATGTGGCCATCATAATTAAACAGTGTCCTGACCCCGTGGCCTGAGGTGCCTGTTCCAGCTCTCCACATCCCTGTTGTGCCTCAGAAGACTCACATGCTGTGCCAGGCTGGAAGAACCGTCTGGAAGGAAAGCCCGTTGTCAAACAAATCATCAGTTCTGGGAACACAAAGCTGCGGGGACCCTCAGGGTGCTGCTGACACTTGGGCCGGCAGCATCAGAAGAGTCGCGTCTCCTGTGTGGTGCTGAAGCCCCAAGTCTGGAGACAGAAAATTGGCTTGGGGCCAGTAGCAGCAGCGCGGACACCTTATCTAAACAAAGGGAGAGGGCATCGAGCACCAGGGGTGGGTGGACACTGCGTGGGTGGTTTCATGTTGCAAATTTTTTTCCCTTTTGTGGCTGTTGTTTTCTTGCTGTTTTTTTCTTTCTTTTTTCCTTTCTTTCTTTTCTTCCTTCCGTCCCTCCTTTTTTCTTTCTTTTTAATCTATTCAGTTTGTAGTATTCAACAGCCCAGCGCTTGGCAAAGCCTGGCAGCCATACCCACCAGGCCGTTTCCAATCCAAATGGCCCCTGTCAACTTTTACAACCCTGCGCTAAAACTCCAGGCACGTCTCTTATTGCCAGCGCTGGGTTATTTATTTGCCCAGCCTGTCTGGCCTCCCATTTTTCACATGTGTGTTACCCCTGCACTTGCTTCAACTTCCTTCTGGCCCTTAAAATGCCAGTAAACGCCCAGTCCAATTTAGAGCTGGGAGGTGTTGAGCAGTTCATCTTTTCAGGGTCCTGAGCTACTTAGTAGCATTTTTGTCTCCCTTCAGCTTTGGACCTGAAAGAAGATGAAGACTTCTGCTCTATGAAAATTGCTCTCTTTCCCTGGAAACCATTGTTACTAATATAGCCTCACCAGGTGCACCATCAACAGCCTGGGAGGTGGGCTGTCCACATGATTCGCAGGGGACACAAGTGGCCCAGGTCAGCAGGAGAGGGCCACAGCCTCGGCCACTGCCTGTCCTCGAACCCCACTCATGTTCGAGAACTGGGCCTTTCATTCTTTTTTAAGCCGTTGCACAGTAAATGTGCGTGAGCATGCACGTGTGTGCATTTCGGGGGTTGGGGACTTTGGCTTTGAAATCATTCCCCAAAAGAGGGGCTTCGTGGTTGCACCTGACCCGGTGTAATGCAGAATGTATGATTTCTTTCAGAGTGTGGCTAGCAGGTCTGCACGTGAAACCCAGATCAAGCACGGCCCACAAAACAATGGCAGGAGGCATAGCCAGAATAAATTGATTCCTTGATCCTGTTCTACCAAAAAATTAAAGCAAAGCATTCCTGGGGTTTTTAACCCAGACAGGACTTCAGCCATGGCTGTGTTTCCATGTCCCCGCGTCGCTTGTTTTAGCTATCTTTTTCTGTGGATGCAATGTGGAATATAGAGGCAGCAGTGTCGGGCTCTGCTGATACATCTGGCTTTTTAAAAATATTATAAGGCTGCATCCATTTGCCCTCACACACATACAAACACACACACACACACACACACAGAGGCTTGTTTTACCTTTGCCCTGGAACTGAATAGGACAGACTATCATTTCTCCCAGCTAGGAAAAGGAGAAGGCAGAAAAGGCCTTCTGGGGATGATGGGCAGATTGCAGTTCTTAAAATGAAAAAATTTTAAAACAAAGGAAGTTCTAGTCCTCAGCCTGAGACTCCTGTCTCTCCACCCCCAAGAGATGGCACAGCCTCTTCGCTCTCAAAGCTCTGTTTAAACATGTAGGTGGTCTGCTCAACTTGGCTGGGTTTTATGTCGGCATTGACCCTGGCCTGACCCCAGCCCTGAGGGTCCCAGATTGTCCTGCTGGCTGAGTGCTGGAGGGTGGAGCCAGCCGCAAGGAAGGCCACCGGCCCCAGTCTGCTGATGGGCCACTAAGGCCACCCTGTCGGGTTGGTCAGCTGCAGCCAGCGTCCTCTCCTGACCTCTGCTCTAATTCCAAGGATGCCCTTTATTTAGCCACCCCAGCCTAGCTTGATCCTCAAGTCCTGGATTCAGTGGCTGGACATGAGCCAGCAATGGCCGCAGACCGGTTCCAGAAAGCTCCCCAAAAGAGGTCACAGAGGCCTCAGGAGACAGGCAGGATTAAGCAGGCTCTGACGGAGCCAGACCAGAGAGCACAGGGTTGACTTTTGAGGGCCTGAACTCCATTTCCAGCTTTCTCCCTAACACCAGTCTTAAGCCAGGTTGCAACCTCACATCCGCCTGAACAGCCATATGAAGACAGAGCAGAGAGAGGTTTGCAAACACCAGCTTTGAAGTCTATGCGGGTGCAGCTCCTAGGCGAGGAAGGCCTGCAGCCACCACCAGCTGGAAGAGACAAAACTTCAATTTTGCCCCAGATTCTCTGGAAGAAGTATGGCCCTGTGGACACCTTGACTTTAGCCCAGTGAGTGTGATTTCCAATGTTTGGAAGAGTCCACATTCCTACTATGCCTAGCCACTGAGTTAGTGGTCATTTGGTATGACAGCCATGAGTGATTAATCCAGACTTTACCAAGGGCCATTAGAACACTTGGAGACAGCACTAGGCATTGGGACTATATACATGTAAATATATACACACAGGTAATGAACCCAGGACTTCTTTTGCGCTGAACTGCATCCTCAGCCCCTTTTATAGTGAGACAAGGTTTCTAAGTTGCTCAGTTACCCAGGATGAGCTCAGACTTTCAGTCCTCCTGCCTTAGCCTCCTAGAGTGCTGGGATTACAGGAGGATTACACCCAGCTTGCTTCATTTTATCTTCATGGGGGTCTCACAACAAGCTAGTAAAGAAGCAATGGGTGAAGCAGGCCTTATCTGTGTTTCACTTATCAGGAGATGGAAACTCCAAGAAATTTAGGGGAAGCTCCAAGAAGTCCAATGTCTTATTCAAGGTCACACATGCTGTTTGAGTGACCAGAGCCAGGTGCTGAAAGAAGCCCCCTCCTGCCTCCTTCCTGGCCCTTGGGCTTTGCATTTGGACAAATGCTGTGTCACAGGCCGCACTGGTGGGTGGATGTCCCGGCCAGAGGAGGGGGAATCCAGGGACATTGATTCTTCTTTCGAGCCCTGTCAGGTGGCTCTGGGCCTTAAGACTCTTCTGTGTGGTGTGGAAATAAGAACACAGCCACCCCTCCTCGTGGAGGTGTGGCACTAGAGGACAGGCCTATACACAGACGCCCACAGGAAAGGCGAGTGAACCTTGCTTTCTCTTCGTGAGGCAGGTGGCCCTTGGGAATCCCCTGGTACAGGTGAACCTCAGGGAAGTTTGCCAGGGGCACCCATGGTGAGCCACCAGGGAAACCCAGCTCTACCTCTCACCCTGTGGGCGCCAGGGAGTTCCTGGGGTGCAGGGACTCTTGAGCCTTACCCAGAGAGCCTGGGATAGCCAGGGACCCTGGGCCCTGCTCTGGCACTTTCAGCTCCCCACCTCATCCTTTTATGGCCTTACTGTCCCCTCCTCTTCCTCTTCCCACCCTGGCTCTTCCCTCACTTTCTTCCTCTCTCAGGCTCCCGGCTGCCTGCGGGCTGACTTCCCACAACTCCACCCTTACTTAACCTCTTCCCCTGTGTCCTGGGACCCCTCACTCCCTCACTGGCTTTTCTTGAAGACACATGCTCCATAGACCAAAATCATGACAGTCCTCAGTTCAGGCTCTGCTTCCAGAACATTCTTAGCCAAGATACCCTGTTAGGCTCAAGGGATGTAAAGCCAGCAAAGATGTACCCTTGCTCTCCAAGAGCTTCTGATGTGGTAGGGCAAGCAGCCTGGTGAGGAATACAAGGGTACCATGCAGTGTTCTAGGTGCTGTGATGGAGGTCTGCTTGGCTCACCAGGGAGCACAGGGCAGTCCGTGATCTGTTGCGTGTGGAAGGATAATCAGGGAAGGCATCATGGAGGAAGTGGTCAACTACTGCATGTGGCTGGAACAGGGAGTGGCCAGGATTACTGGCACAAGGGAAGGCTGAGAAATCATAAGGCCATCATAGCAGGGTTGGAGGGCTGAGTTAAGGGTCTCAAGCTTTATCCTATGGGCAATAGGAAGCCATGGAAGGCTTTAGAGAAATCTAGGTTTGAATTTTTTTTTTTTTTTTTTTTTGAGATGGAGTCTTCAGACCAGCCTCAAATTCATGGCAATCTTTTTGGCTCAGCCTTCTGAGTGCTGGGATCACAGGTGTGTACCATACTGGCTTGGGTGTCACTCTTTCAACCTAGAAGTTCTAGAAGTCTCCAGGGAGACAAGAGTTTTGGGCCATGGAAAAGAAAGCAGAGTAAGGGCTGAGAAGTAGAATCCTCCCAAAAGCCACAATCAGGAGAGGTGGTAGACAGGTTAAGCAAGCAGTAAGGAGAGGGCCTCCTTCATGCTAGGCGAGCTACAGTCCTGGTCCTAATCCAGAGCCATTCCCACTTGGACCATCACGTAGCCAGATCCTAAGGGCCTGCCAAGGGTTGGCAGACAGGGCGAGAGGACTGACTGGGGTAGCAGTGGACAGGAGAGGACAGAGTTAGGGGGCATCGGACCCTTTATTCCCATGTGTGATCTGTGTAGCCAAGGCCCCTCCGCTCTGTGCACAGCCTCAGCTGAGCCCTGTATTCCTCCCTCCCTCCCCTACACATAGGGCCAGCTGAGTGCCCTATCCTCCCACTGTGGTCTGGAAGGCCTAGATAGAGTTCAAACAACTCTTCAAGGGAGGCCAGGCTTGTGACCACTTGAATTTTTCCTCACAACCTCTAGGCTGGACCTTTCTGCAAGTCTGATGACAAGCTGGACAAATGGGCTGAGGCCTGAGGGAGTTGAAGAGCATGGTGGGAAGAGGCTTCACCATTAGGATGCAATCCCAAGAGCCTTTCTCTGGGGGCTGGGCTGCTCCTGCCAGGCACTGTGTGCTGAGTTGCAGGACCAGCATGGAGAAGGAACCAGGACTGACAGTCTCAGGAGGACAAGGTGATGATGTCTGTCGGAGTTCTGGGAACAGGTAGAGGCCACAGGGTGCAAGGTGGACTCAGGCAGCCTATGGGGCTGGGGCATGAAGCCTTGGCTCCCAAGAGGAGGAGTGGGAGTCAAGCAAGCAGCACCCCCCCCCGCCTCAGGCACCCACTCACTCTCCTTTCCACCCAACTCCTTCTTCCCAGCTTTCCAAGACCCAGTAGCAGAAAAAAAAGCATCTTTCTTTCTTTCTTTTCTTTCTCGCATGCCAGGAGAACATTATACCACTCAGCCACTGAGCTAGACCCA